ATATGAATTTGATTTTATTAATTTGACGTTAAAAGAAGGAAGAAGTTTTATTTAGTATGTTATTGATTAGAATTATTATATGCTCGGACATTTGATTAAATGTGTTCGTGTATACATGCACACGGTTAATGAACTCTAATTTCGTTGATGGTTTTCCGAAGTAAGGTACCTAACGGGAAATGTAAATTAATTTTTGTAATAATTAATAAATAAAGTCACGAGATGAATAATGGAAAATATTTGAAAAAGAAATATGAAAGAAAATGAATGAAAATATTTCATAGATATAATATAATTGTAATGTAAAATATATATTTCATTATATAAGAAGAAAAAATTCGGATCATTTTCAAAGATTCAACAACACGTTCGAATATTTTAAGAATAGTTCTTACAATCATAGATTTTAATATTTTATTTCATTATTATTTTATTCGTCAATAATATCTAATATTTATTGTACGAATGAAAGATATTAATATGTTTTTCTTTTTACTGTAAAAATGATCATTGTATGATTTATCAAACAAATCAAATAATTGTTAACGAAAATAAATGGAATATTTATAAATAAAATTTCATTTCACATGGTATTTGATTTACCAAAAAATGGAATGTGCTTTTAAATTATCAAAGAATAGAATTTAACACAATACCGAATTTTTCATTTCAATATATATCACATCGTTCTCTAATATACCATTTTTTATTGTATTTGTAAGAATTAATTTATAATAATTTGTAATATGATTTATATATTTTTACAGGTAAGTAGGAATTTAATTTTCATTTGATTATTAAATTTGAGTTTCAGAATAAGATTAATTTGAATACATGCGGCTTTGATTGTTTTCATGCCATTTTTTATTTTATTTGTAAGAATTAATTAATTCATAGTAATTTTTAATATCATTTATATATTTTTACAGGTAAGTAGGAATTTAATTTTCATTTGATTATTATATTTGAGTTTGAGAATAGGATTAATTCTAACACATGCGGGTTTGATTGTCTTCATGCCAAATACATAAATAGTTATTCATAGAGAAGTTGACCATGGGTCTTGGATAGTTCAATGGATAGAACAGTTGTCTAGCAAAGCGAAAGATCCTAGATTTTCAAGTTCTGGTTTCAATTAGTCCTGCGATTCAATTGTTTCAAGAATCCTACATATACAAGGATAAAGATCGGTCATGATATATTCAAAATTTTCATGAATAAAAAGTAATTGCTTGTATTCTAAAAAATAATTAAAATTTGATCATAATTATTTATACTTAATAAGGTATCACAAGGAACTTGGACATAAAAAGAAGTAGAACTTAATTTAACTAAGTTGGACGTTTCGTACCTTTATTGGGACTTATTCAGCAACTGGAAATTTTATTTTATTATATTATAACATACATGAGGCTCATACAATAATTTTTTTTTACATGTTACCTAAATCTTTACAGTTCAGCGTCTTTTTTTATTGGGTAGACATACATTTTTCTTTTTATTAATATTCACACACACACACGTAGCATGTAGTAGATTTAGTGTTAATAAATTTTGTTCAATATGTTATATCAAATTATAATAAAAATATATTACACATTTTTATCTTGAAAAACAGATAGATAGATATGTA